AGGGTTGCCACTTGAAAAATGGCTGGAATCAGACTTCGGAAAAATCACTTTTTGGGGGCTGATTTTGTTTTGTGGGAATAATTAAAAATGTAATTGGTTAACCCATAAAAAACTGAAAAGAAATTGAAAGATAAGTGATCAGATAAGAATTTTATTTGTGTTTCAGAAATCTCAGGGATGTTGGCGTGCATGCTATTGGGCCCTGAACGGTGCTGATTTTACACTGTTTTCAATGGGGCTTGAATGAGTGGACTGGACCCATCGGGTGTTTAGACCCTTTTTAAAAATTAATGCCAGATAATGTGTGAAAATACAAGTGGGTTAGCATTGCAAATGGCATTATACAAATGCATAAAAAGACTAAATGCTTTTGTTGGGCCTGTGCCACATTTATTTGGTACGGTGTGCTTTTGAGTTTATTACAAAGAATTTACTAAATAGTTGTTTAGTTTTTCAGATAACCATTGCTGTCAATGATAGTGACACTCAAGTCAATAAATATTACGGGATTGAATATTAGGAAGGACGTCCAGGTATCCACAACCTAAAATTGCCCACGTTTTCATTTAGATGCGAAGGAGGATGGGAATGAAAGTTTCCATGACGTCATAATTAAACTTTACAAAATTCCTTACAATGACAATGTGTGGTATAAAGGTAACCCGACGAAAATTTCAATTTAATTTGGTAAGATTCTAAAACATGTTGAAACAAACAATAGCAATTGTTTGAAGAAAAAACATATGAAGTACAGAATGTATATAGAATGCTTTCATTATGTAACACACAATCAGTATTACATCGATATATGCAAAAATACACAAGACTAAAAAGGAATGTTCTTCATAAAATGCTGATGAACAAAACCACTTAAAATGCTCATTATTTATCGATATTAAAAAAAGAAGGCAAAAGACCAATGGTGAAGATGTGCATATTTCTCTCGAAAATGTTGCGTATATTTCTTTTGAAAATGAAACAATTTTGATTCTTTCCTTTAGACAAGTTTCATTTTTACAAACAGAACCAATAGTCTTCACTTGTTGTTACTGACATGTGACCTGAAATATTTAACTTAAGCATTCAACTTGTAAAATTTATAGTTCGTATAATAATGTGCAATGCTGAAAGAGCAGTTTTAATTTACAGCAACGACTGACAAACAAACGCCTGATTCTATCATCAGTGACTTCATAAAATGTGATATTCCTTCATAAATCACTGCACGTCTTTGTTATTCATCAATAATATTATCATTGTAAATGATATAGTAAAAGTATAAAAAACAGGATTCTAATTATGTCAGATATGAACATTGTTACTATGGAAATGCTAAAATAGATAACAAAATTGAACATTTTCAACGCCAAGAATACCTTTTTAAAATTTAACTCAATATTAAGAAATGTTTTCTACTACTTTCTTCTACATTTTAGAAGTATGTGTCCTTCTGGTAACTTATCTACTTCTTTCTTCTTTCTTAGCCACTTTGATTTACATTTTCTTATCACTTCACCACACATCGTTCTTCGAAATTAGTATGCATTAAGTACATTTTCATGTGAGGACAATTTTTTAACTAAAACTTTAATTTCTGTTTGACACACAGTCTATTTTGAAGTTGCTATCCTAACATTTACAAAAGAACAGTTCAAACTTTATTTGATGACTTCTTGAAAATTTTATAATACGTAGTTATTTTCAAAGCAAACAATTTGACATAGAACTAAGGTAGTTTATTTCATGATTTGAAATAATGTTTTTTCAGTGTCAAAAGTTTAAAACGGTTGTTTTAGACTAGCATGACAAGACGTGTTTAAAGCCAGTAAAGCTTTCAAGAAGATTCTTAACCCTGTTACGTCTCTGTTATTAAGGTCACCAATGTGCTCATGTGCGTAAGAAAATAAAACTTAACAGCTCTTCCTGGGGGAATAGCTCGCTGTAAACTGAATTGATTTTGTGATGAGCACAAATTCTAGAAATGAAACATATTATATTTTTCATTTAGATGCTTTACGTATTTTCATGCTAGCTTTCTTGACAGATTGTGGTTTTTTCCACGGAGTCCATCTAATACTATTTAGTTCAATTACACGCCTACCATAGAACTTGCCGTTCAGATTTGCTTGATAGCACCAGTTGTACCACCATGCGCCGTGATCCTCTTCGGCACAGCTTCCTGCTGGGTGCATGTCATTGTCTTTGTCTTTTGTCGAGAACAACTTGCCATTGTGCATGCTTGTCATTGCATCTCCAGCCGTGCTGTTGTCATTGTACGAGCCTACAGTGAGCTGATAGTTGTCACCCGAGACTCTGAACGCTCCATACTCTGCGTAGACGCGCTCATTGTCCCAGTCCTGTAGGTCAACTCGAAGCTGCCATGTTCCCGCTCTGGTCAAACTGCGTAGATTTTCGTTTCCAAACCAGAACTCCCCCGACAAGCTACCGAAACCCTCCTGGTACTCAGTCCAGTTGCGGAAGAAGTCGACGCTGCCGTCTTGACGCCTCTGAATTACCATCCATCCCCCGTCAGCTGTGTTCATGTCGCAGTAGACCTGCAAGCCATCAATGCCGAATGGGGCAGGGAATATGGTATAGATACCATTTGCAGTGTGACCTTCCTCCAGGAGCTCCATACAGCTAGTGTAACGAGAGGTAATGGAATGAAGTGGCGTGTCTTCATTAGCATCAAAGTACACGCTGCCGTAGAGTGTAACCAAGTTGTCTGGAGAGTTTCCTCGAGAGAGATTTCTCAGCTCACAGGTTCGCTTGAGAGTGTTATAGTTCACCGACAAGCAACCGGGGTCAGCATGGCAGTCCCTCACACAATGAATGTGGGATGTTGCTACGGTTTCTTGATACGAAGCTCCCTGCAGATATCGGTTTTGCGCAGGTAGAAAATCGCTTTTGAAGTGGTTGCACAATGTTGCGGCTTGTACAGTTGCATTGGTGACTGAACTAACAGCAAAGGCAAGAATTACCAATGCCAGCGAGCAGGAGAGTTGAAGCTGTGGCCTATTAGCCATGGCTGAATATCCAGACTATCCCAGGAAAATTAAGAATTGACAGGAAAGGCTCGCCATTTAAAGCTGACACAGCCTCATTAGTTTGCCATTAGCATGGTACGCCATGGATATGGACAATGGTGATTGGCTGTTGTGTTTTAGTGAAACTATACAGACAGTGGTCACAAGGTTACGGAGACCCAAACACTCTAACCATTCCAATTGGAACAGGGAAGTGTTTTGCACATACAGGGGACTGAATCGGTGAAAATATCAAGCACAGGGCATGATTTTCATCAGTAACGAACATAAAGATATAACCTAACAACTGAAAGGTCGAAGGCTCTTTAATTTTTCTTTTCTCCTTGTTCTGGCAGTGTTAAAATATAGCAGTGAAAACAGAGGTCAGTGGCATTTTGATGGGGAATTGGAGGAGGAAAGTTGACCCCTGAGGACACTTTGTAAAATTCCTAATTTTTAAAAGCTTTTTTTTTTATTTCAGAATTGGATGTGCCAGCACTTCAGAAACGGTTTGCACCTTCCTTGAAGAGGTGTGGATTTCTTTATGAGCAAGGAGAAGAGATTTGATTGTAACAGGTAAGAAATCCCAGGCCCTGACTCAAAACGTGGATACAACACTGGTCATGGACGCTTCATTTTTCCTTTAGCAGACACACGTTTCAGTCATTACTAACTGTTAGGTAGGCCCAATGTTTGATACATTTTTCTCACAAATGGCGAATAATTATAAAGTCAACTCATGCCAAGGAGTACGGTACCGATGGTTTCAGGCGTACAATTATTTGCACTTCTTAGGAAGCTATGAGGCGTGCAATCGCACACCTTAAAACGAAAGGAGTAATGCTTTTGTTGTCATGGACACTCATTGCTTCTTGTCATTAATTCATCAGCCTTCATAAGGAATTGCGAATAAAAGTGGTAATAAACCACGCTATAGGGTCATGTAAATGAAACTTTGATTATATATTGACAGCTAACTCGTTGGGGCTTTGGTCTTGTGACGAATGGTATTTGTAGCAGTTCTTAGCTCTGAAAGGGTATACCAATGCCAAATAATCCCGGAAGTCTGCTCTGAGGTCTGAAGTTTAGTCTTGGTTGTTTTTTTAAATGTTACTTTTGTTGTGTGATTTTATTTACGAAATGTGATATATACATTTAAAAAAAGTTGGAGTTAACCAGTACAGGGATATAAAATATGACCCCAGTAGTCCTCGATCCTTTATCTTTTGGAGAATTGAGGACATCAATGAATGGTTAAAGGGTTAAAGAAGAAAAAGTACACCAGATACACAAACTTGATATTTTGTTTCATGGAAAAGATTTATTTTTCATTCCCTAACTAATTGCGCTTAACAGAGGGCACCAAATTGTCCCTTTGACAAGAGTTCGTCTGTGAGCTGGTGACAACACCATGCCACGAGTGGCGTCGTTACAAGACTTACAAATACAACTCCTGTATATTTTGAATTGTTTTTAAGATGTTTGTGAAATGGATTCCAAGATAAATATATTTCTGCACCAGGATTTACCATAATATTTCAACATCGATTTGACGCATCAACAATGGCGGCTTTCTTGATAAAGCCTCTTAAGACATCTGGAAACAAGTTGGAGATTTTTGAAACAATTTAGCGTTATCTCTAAACATCACAAGACAGGTGTATTCTGAAATTATTTTAAATTATTTTAACTTCTCTGTACGCTAACAATTAGTATAATGAAAACATTTTACGCACAAGTTGTATGCACAGTATGACTTCCACTTATGTCAGTATTAAGGTAAGGTATTAAGCATTAAGGTACCATCGGCTCTGTTGCTTTACAAGAAGGGCCTATACAGTAGTTGGTGGCGAAAGTTTAAGACAAATCACGCGACAGTGACGTGCATCAAGTTGCTTTTTGTTCATATCCTCGTGACATTCAACTGGCCTACTTTTCACGTCTTCATTACAAAGCCTCTGGTTTGAGAGAGCATTTCAGAAACGTGACCTCAATTACAGTTGGTGTGTGCACTTTGTGTAAATGATAACTGAAGTCTCTGAGTGCCCCTGAGTACCCATTATCAAAACAGTCCTTGCAAAGCATTATTGTGACTTGTCATGAAATTTTAACACAGTGTTGGTAATTTGTGCCAAAGGGGACTGGCAACTTACCACTGATAATGATATACCTGCCTACAACCTTAATGGCGGCCATTTTTGATGGTTGTCAGAACTTTATAGAGTAGAACTCTCATCAAAATACACCTCTTACGCTAACACATTTCCAATACCAGTACAAAGGCACTTGAGTATAAGATGTGAATCACACCTTTGAAAATTGTTAGTATCAGGCTTAAAGGTGGCCTTTTCAGTTTGTTTTAAGTCAAGCACCCAGTGTCATAATTAAGACGGTACATGTAGTTACCTGTTCCAGAAATGTACAAGAAATCTACCAGACTACAAGTTTTGACATCGTTTCTGCCTTTCCGTACACGCACAAGTGTTAAAAATCAACAAAATACTATGGTATAAGCATTAGCATTGGATTATATCAAATTGATCAAGAAATAACATTCATCCTTAAAATATCTTACCACAGAATACAAACTAAAAATGAAAACTGGAAGTAAAAGGGGATTACATTTACCAATTTGTTTGAAAATACCTCAAGAATTGACTCCTTTCATGGTTAATGGTTAGTTTGCTGCCGATGAGCGCTTTGCCCCACAAAAATTTCTTTCTCAGTGCCGTTCTTGGTAGGGAACAGGATTGCGGACCACACGCCCAGCTACTCCTCCATCCTGTGGAAAAGACAGGATGATTCCCATGTTACGGACATCTTCTAATACTGAAAATTAATGCTTGATTAAGTACAATAACCTCGATGTACCCAGTGATACGCTAGGCTTCCGTACAGTTATTGCAGAGGGGAATTCGTATTGTAACCTTGAAGATACAGTTTTCGTGCTATTCAAGGGAAGGATAGACATATGCTCACGGTTTTTAACATTTTTGTTGCGATCTTGTTGAAGGCTCAATAAAAGTTCTACATAAACATCAGCATTTTCATCTCTCTTTCTGCTTACTGAAATACAAGAGAATGCTCCAACTGGACCCAGATCTATGCAAGTGCTTACCCTTGAGTCTTCTCGGTAGAAGGCTTCCCGCCCTGTAGCCATGTAAAGCCCTCTCCGTTTGCTGGGAAACTCGCCAATGCCCTTCATCGGAAGGAAATGAATGACTTCAAACACTGGAATTCATAGAGTTTGATGGATTTTACAAATCATTCAGCATATTTTACATCACAGCATTGGTCAATTATAAGCAAGTTTCTGCATTTTTGAAAAAGGACAACTTCAGAGTAAGTAAATATTCTGCAATGCATTTTGGATCACCAGACACCGCACCATCCTGGGAATTATGACACTGATCTCGCTTCTAGCCTACCTGCTGCAAGTAAGGCGAGTGGCTCATGACCTGATGCAGTCGGCGCATTCTCCTTTCCTCATTCCTGCCATAGGAGCGCATCTTGTTGGAGTCGCCATAGTCATAGTAACCGAGTGGATCGTAGTCGTGCATCACGGTGGCTGGAAACACGGGGATGGCACCATTTCTCCAAGCCCAGTAAGAATCAGATGGGGTGTCAGGTTGGAAGAAATGACCAGCTTGGTAGCGCCGTCTCTGCACAATGTTGAAGCAGACGAGTATGCCGACAATGACGACAAGTATCAGTAGGCCGGTGAATACAAGAACGAGAATCAACATCGTCAGATCTTCGGAATCTACAACAAAAAAATACCAGGGCATCAAAATAATAAAGATACCATTTATTAATCTACTGGGATTGTTTTTCATTCTAATTTCAAGGATGTTTAAAATTTACTGCCCAAAAAATCAGATTCTTGCTTTGCCAAAGTGTACTTCAGTGGAAATAAAAATGTCCCATTTCGCACAGGAACTGCAGGCTTCAAAACGTTCATCAAATCAAACTGGAGAAATAGTGTTTGAGCCTGTTGTCATGGTTACTTGGGCAATGCGGGTGTACATTTGACCTGTAACTCCTCAACTTCTGATAAATGAAATGTTTAAACTGAAACATAACTTCCTAACATTGTTGTTGTGATTCATTTTAATCTTTTCATAATCATCTACCCGGAGTGTGCTGAGAGCCCTGGTCCAAAAATATATCAAGAATATGACAAATCTAATCCCTGAATCACAGCAGACCTCAACATAAATAGAAAAATGATCAAACAAATGGGCTTCATCTAAATAAGCCACATTATGGACTTTGTTTCAACTATATTAACAGCTCCTCCAATTCACCTGGTGCGGGGGTGGTTGATTGAGGTGAAGGGACATCATCAGTAGCCGTGAGGGGGATAACGGACTCACACTGTCCACCGGTGAATGAGGTCGCACACCTGTACGGGGATGAGGTTAATCTTTACTCTCAAGAATGTATCCGGATCATAGATGTATTGTGTAATGAGAGCACATAGGCAAGTAAATCACCAGGTACATGAATAACTCTATAGCTTTGAACTTGATAGCGCCGTTCTGCAATTGGTGTAGCAAGCTATTTGAAATGGTACCGAAGCTTGTCATTTACCGACCACATGCTGCGACAAGTGAGCATGCCTTCAAGTCTTATTAACAGTCTTAAAAGTAAGACCAACCTGCATGTGAATGTGAAGACAGGATAAAGTCCAGATACATCACACGTTCCGCCGTTTCTACAGTAGTCTTGTGGGCAGCTTGACGAAGATTCTGTAAGGATGTCATTGATAAAGTGTGGCAGAAAAAAACTGGTTATTATCGACTACACAGGGTCAATTGCACGGAGCAACAGCAATTGCCACCTTTGGTGGCGCACGACACTTCCAGAAACTAAGTATTTACGTGAAGCACTGATGCTTGTCTGTTTCATTTCTTTCTTCCTGTTGTTGAACTAATTGGATGGTAACACAATTGTAGCTGTGCCCGTCATCTAAATAAAAAATGTACAAACGCAGTCAATATTCCTGCCATGACTCGTGTAAGGCCAATTCTTCATGGCAGTGCATTTCAGTAAGTCATAATTGTAAAACTGCATTTTTCTGAACTGTCTTTGATGCGAGAATGTTTTGCAGTCGAAACGGGCTACCCCGGAGCAACAGCATTTGTGGAATGAACACTAGACAACTTACGACTGTCGGTGACGTACTGCGTGTCCACTTCAAGATTGTCACTGCCGTCGTCCAGCATGCTGCTCGCCTGCAGGACACTTTGTATGGTGGTGACCGAAGGAGCTGAATTTTCATCGGGAAAGAAGCCCACAAACTCTATTATTGCGCTGCCGCCGCTCACGATACGGATTCCCTGAATGTCCACCACAGTCGATGTTAACACGTTTCGTCGAAGTATGAAGAGGAGCTGTCAAAGATACACACCAATGCAATTTGCCAGGTCAGTATGTCAAAAGCCAGGGTCTTTCTGGAACAAAGCGTGCACGTGAGTCGCTGTATGGCTGTGCTGATAGGACAAGCTATTGGGCACCAAAAAAGGTATTCACAAATGGGAATTGCAAAGTGTGATATGTCATGGGTTGATTTTAAACTAGTTTGTTTAAAACTGGCTACGAGGCTGGGGACCATAACCAATGGTAATAAAAAGCTGGGTCTAAACGTACTTACTCAAAACGGCTCATTACCCTTTTATATTCCCCTCACTAAAGACTTAAATCAGACTTTTGACTGAAAAATGACAACTCACCACTTTGGAGCTTACGGTTAAGACCTCCTGACTGGCAGTGGAGGTTGGGTTAATATATATAAGAGTGAAGTCGATGGCGACTCCATTCACACCAAACACTCGCAGCCTGAACACACGTACCACCCTCCCTGTCGATGTCAAAGTTCACATGGCTTTAATCATGCATTGGTCATCGTGAATAATACAAAAGCAAGGTAACCCCGCAAAATCTGCTCTAAAAACGTCTGTACCGGAACGAAGATGAGGTTTCGCCGCAAATCACAAATCACCATCCCTGTGCTCTGATGGATGGTTCCACAGCATGGAAGAAAACAGTCCATTTACCTTTATCCAATACGGGCGTTTCACAATAGTGGACCTCCAAAAGCGTGAAATTTGTAGACCCAATGCGCATTTGAAAAGTGTCGACAAATTTCACACGTTGTGGTTGGCCAACGCGTTGGAAACTCTTAGAGGTGCACCACTGGGAAATGCCCGTATCAAGCGAAGAGTTTTTCAAGACGAGGTTTTACCTGCAATATTTACAAAGCAGTTGGGCTCCTTATCATTTCAATGAATTATGATTTGGGGAAGCACCATCTAAAAACTGGCCATCTTGTGAAATAAAGCCAGTTGAAATTTTCTTCAAAATGTCCCAGTGAGTTTATTGGCAGAATTAAGAGAACAGGAGAAAACAGGCGACTTAAAACTTCCATTCTTTACGGTCTACCCGAAAATGTTGCAATCTATTCCAGCATTTTATGCAAAAGCAACGCTATTGGTACTTTTGTTATTGTGCATAATCCAAACAAAGATCTTACTGAAGCAGAAGCCATTTTGATCCGTGATGTAACCGCCCAAGGCATTGCAGACACATGTGTGGCCAGTGGAGGACTGAGTGCTGGCCACGCAGTACTGTGAATCTACAGGGCAGAGGCTGCCATCCAGACAAGGATTGGAAACTGCACGGGAGGTATAATATGACCAACACACAGACAACGAAACTCAAATGATACCAAAGAATGAAGGTGCAAAAATTACTCTTCACAATTCATGTCAATGTGACCAATAAGACCTGGTGAAAAACTTCCATTTTCAAAACTCGTGTTCTCCTGAGTGATTACATCAAACTTGACGTGTTAAACGTTACCTTGACAAAATTGTCCGAATAACGTCAGCGGACAAACGCATTCACAGTGATCGGCATCTAAAACACCTTGCTGGCAGCTGCCTGACACCAAACTGCACCCTGATAAAACAAAAAAAGGGCATCATTTAAAGTTACGGTCCCAATTGTACAATGCATATCAGACTAAAGTTGCATGTCCCTCTGGCAACGCAAAATTGTTTGGATTCATACCTTCGGCTGGAGGGTTAGTGGACAAATCTACTACCAGCTGAGTGGTTGTAATCTTATTTCCAGTCGGTGACACTACAGGAATGATAAAGGCAACGGACATCAATAAACAAGAGAACTGTACTGAAAAAAAGCTTGTTTTCATTCTTATAAGTAAATAATAATTATGATAATTACAACATTTGTAATGCGCTTTCCACAACGTTTCAAAGCACCATTATTATCCCTGCACATTGGGCTCACACACCTATGAATATTCCTGAAACCATCTCTCTGGGGAGAGATTATCCCTGCACATTGGGCTCACACACCTATGAATATTCCTGAAACCATCTCTCTGGGGAATATACAAGCCCAGTGCTGCCATTTTGGCACAAACGGCTAAACATAGGAAGCGACTTAATACTAAACATAACTGTGTCTGCTCTCACAGGTACCCATTTATTCCTGGGTGGAGAGAGGCACATAGGGGTAAAGTGACCTTGCCCAAGATCACAACATGCTGCCACAAGCTGGATTCGAACCCCTGACCCTGTGGTCAGAAGCTACAAACCCTAACCACTCGGCCACATGCCTCCACAAATGTGTTGACAGACAGTTATAAATATAATACATTTGGGAACTGTCACCGCGAAATGAGCTGAAAGTCAGAATTTTCAAAAATTGAAATAATATTTTTGAATTCAGCAGAAAGAGGGCTCTCCAATGGTACGTACACGGAACACTTAGGGTAGAAGTATAAGGTGACATTGTGACATTATTCTGGCAGCTTTGTGTCTTTGTTTCTGACATTGTTCCAACATTTCCAACTGGGCACGAATAATGCTATCATTGAAATTGATGAGAAAATGACATTTTTAAATATCCGATCCTGTGAAAAATTGGGAATTAAAAAGACGGGTTACTCTTTCCCAAAATTATAAAACCCCAGGATTGACCACCACTTCCGCATTTGACTTTGAACACTCAAAATAGGAAAGAGTGGAATGTGACTTTCTAGTTCTAAAACACTGCATTCTCTAACGTTGCTCGAGGTAAGCATGAATCAAGACTAACCTGTTGGATGTGACGGTCCAGGGGTGGAGACCACTGGCCTCTGGGGAGTCATTGGGGCCGGTGTTGCTGAAAGCAAAATGAAAAGGATAGAGTAGCAACGGCATGCCTCAAAGGAAATCACAACTTCCGAGTCGGGGATGAGTTTTTACCTTCAGAGGTGGCCGCAGGAGGGGACTCTGTTCTGGAGTCAAGTTTCCGAGTTGTCGGTGTACCATTTGGTAGCTTTCCTGCAGTAAACGAGAAGAACTTGAGCTGAGAAATGGAATTCTTACCTTCAGTGGTGGCCACAGGAGGCAAGTTGGTTCTTGAATCCACTTCTCGGGTTGTCAGTCTGCCGTCTGACGACGTTCCTGTTATGAGCAGAAGGGCTCAGTTAAGTTTTAAAAGCAGTTCAGATATTTCCTATCCTACCATCAGTTGGATAGTTAAATAGCGACAATTAATGAACTGAATAATCGAAATCTTACCTTCAGTGGTGGCCGCAGGAGGCAAGTTTGTTCTTGAATCCACTTCTGGAGTTGTCCGTCTGTCGTCTGATGACGTTGTTCCTGCAATGAATAAGAGTGACTTAGTTTCAGCAGTCCTGAAATGTCTTCGGCCTACCAACAGTTGGATATCTCAACAGAGTCTATTGCTGGGAATTTTTACCTTCAGTGGTAGCCACAGTAGGCGAGTCTGTTCTCAAGCCTGTGTCTTGAATCGTCTGTCTGTCATTTGAGGGTGTTGTTCCTGCAAATGTAGTTCCAAATTAAAGCTCACTAGAAACATATTTCTATCTTCTATATTATATACATTATAACATATGTTTGTTGACAAATAGAGTACAAAAAGAGTCAAAATCCTGAAGATATTATTTTGTAAAATGACTGACAAACTAGAAATACATCCAGTTTACCAAATGTACCCAATCAATGCAGTTTTAAACATAGTCACCATTGGGGTGGACTAGACTCTTTTCAAGTACATACTGTGAGGATCGACCCTACTGTTGTCCTGTCAGCACTACTTAGCTTTTGATTAATACGTTGATAGTTGAATTATTCCAAACCAAAAGCTTATGAGCCTATAGTTGTCACTTTATAGAGGTTCTTCATGGCAGCCATTTTTCTGGTAAGAGCTTTTATTCTACAGGGACACAAACCTTTTGTGCTATCCCTCCGGAACAAAAGCAGTAATACCGGAAAGATGGCTGCCAGGCAGAACCTCTATAGCTCCGCCTGTTACTTAAGCCATATTACACGCACTACAAGGTTTGCATACGACTACCTTGGCTAGTCATGCTATCGTCGATGGAAGAATCAGTTGCTTCCGTGCTTCCATTTCCGCCCCCACCAATAGTTCCACTGACAGAGGAACCTCCATCACCAACAGTAGAATTTCCCCCTCCATCAGGTGCTGTCAAATATTTCAAGGGTTCAGGCAATGCAGTTATTTTACTAAAACCCCCCAAAGCGCAAACCTCCTGTTTCAAGCTTCTACGTGCTGTTTTTAAAGGTAATTTGATGCCTTTTTTATTTTTAGGCAGATGTCGATTTCCATATTCATGACCAAAACTGCGATATCATCCCAGGGAGACAACTTCCATACCGCACTGATTTGTCAAAAAAAAAACTGCTGAAACTTTGGCTATTGCGCTATCCTAAATTCCTCTTTAGGGTGATTAAGCTAACGAGCAACCCTTTCTCAGAAATGGTTTTGATGAGCAAATGTTGGGTTTACAATTTATACAGAAAAACTGACAAACTGAACAGTGTATTCCATGGTTAACCCACGCACCCCAACAGGATGTCAAATAGTTTTCATACAAAGAGGAAGCTTCAAGATGCATAAAGTGTGTGTGCCCAAGAAAAAGCCATCACATGCACTCTCTACATTCTGAGCAACCAGTGTGTGACCAAGTTAGAATGTTCAGACCAGCAACATGTTCGCTTTATTTCTTAACGTGAGCTTTTACTTGACGGGTTACCCTCCCGATGAGAAATCACAGTTTATGCGCAGTGGTGAGCTACCAACATTGATTTGAGTGATACACACTGTGGCGTTCAAAGAATGATGTTTAAAACTGGGTATAAACATTTCTACTATCATCACTGGAACAGAGAGACCAGCTTTCGCATTGACAAAATGGAAATCTACCTGCAGTGGTAGCCGTAGTCGTCAGTCCATCAGTGGATGGCATTGTCCCTGCGATTAACAAGATGCAAGCCATCTCAAATACATTTGCATTTGAAAAACATCTGTTGGGGGCCTGCTGCCACTGAGATATTTAAAATTCAGAGACCATTACAATGTTGAGGGATACAGGAAATAGGAGGAAAAAGTTGGGCTTTTTATTTTGAAAAAAGCCTCCCAATGAAGTGGTAATAGTCACACTATCGATGTGGACTCCATTTTTTAAGTAGGCCTACCCACTAACTGTGAAAACCTTACAATACACATGTCTGAATGCTTCCAGATGCAAGTTTGCCTCTAGCCAGCTGTAGTTGCTACAGCCGACAGGAAGTTTGTCACGATCATTAGGCTGATATTTCAAACAGCGCCCTCTGTCGAGAAGTTCGGGCACTTTTAAATGTTAAGATACAAAATGTTGGCACTTTTCATTACACATAGCCCCAAAAGGATGTTCAATACATGTAGTTTCATACTGAACAAAGGTCGAGATGCACAAAATCTAAGAAAAAGACATTGCACGGACACCTTCCATTTTTAGCGACCAGGGTGACCAGTTAAGAGCGTTTAGACCAGCAGTAACTTTGCTTACTAAACATGAAACTGTACATTTCTGGTTTATATTTTTCTACGGGTACGAAAGAAACAACTTGTATCCAACGGCGAGTTACCATCGTTGTCCTCGATGCACACTGTGGCATTTGAAGTGACTCTACCAAACGAAGGGTTGGTTAAAGTCAGCAGAAAACATTCGGTCTCTTCAATCAGTTCATCGTCGCTGATGGATACATTGAAGGACGTGACAGACTCATCACCAATAAATGCAACCCTTATGCCTGCCAGGATATCGAAGTCGCTGCTGTTTGCTGTTAACTCCTGAGTACTAAAAACTGCACGTTGAAAGAAACGACAAATAACGAATGTGTTGTCCATTACGGAAATGCACAAGGTCAAAATGCTAGGTTAGCATGCACTGGTGCTGCAAGTTCATGAGCGTTTTTCATTGACATGGGGAGTAGGGGGGCTTTCTCATGTAAATGAGTTGGTTTGTGTCCGAAAAAAGGTCTCACATGTGCCAACTTTTGCACATCTTACTCAGTCTTATTACTTTCTGAAACAGTGGGAAGGAAAAAAAGGTTTTCTGTTTGCCATCTCTACAGTGGCCTTGGATCCATTCTCATCGGTGTGCAGAATCAACGTGTTTTCCTCGACTTAAAACAAATCCTCACCAACTGTGGTATTGATGGGCTCAGCAGCTCCAGATCGGATGATGGTTACTAGCAGGTGACCTTCGTCTTCACTGACGGCACTGAGATTCCCGAAGTAGTAGGTTATTTCTGACAAGGACAGAAAAAGAGAAGCCCTTCTTGGTCTCGGGGTCTTTCTTAAAATGAGCCAAAATTGTCATAACATGAATAGCACAGTGGTTACCAGGGAGGACGGTGACTGAGAACTCGCAGGTTCCTCTTGCTCGTGTGGTTGTCCGGTTAGGCTCGCAGCTTATGCTGGTTTCGCCAACGGGGTACCAGCTACTGGACATCACTCGAATCCCATTCTGGTTTCTGCAGATGTAATTGCTTTGTGTCACCACACCTGTGTTTGAATGATTGCCAAATAGCTCTGGTGCCCATACAACCCTCGCTCTTCCGGGACTGTTGGCGTCTTCATACTCCTGAACGTCCCCTGGACATGTTATTTCTGTAACATGCAAAATTGCCGTTTTCATTGTGTCACAATGTATATAAAACTAAAATGGACAAGAAACTTGTTACTATTGGCAGAGAATATGCAGGTAAGTAGAATTTCGGGTTCACCATTGAAAAGCAACTCTTTCATGAGGAAATAATGATTCACTCTTTAAAACATCTGATGGTGATCGATGATGCGGACATCTCTGCTCTGGCTTCAGGAGGAAAAACTAAGTCTCAAACTAAGCTTAGAATGTGACGCTGTGTGTCACGAACGGTGGTCACTGAGTGGCAGACATGGGGGAAGGGACAAGGAGAGTGTGCTCACCGCAGACCTTCCCTGTAAATCCAGGCAGACAACGACAGTAGCGGTTGCCTTGAGATGCCGGTGGTATCACGGTGCAAGTTCCACCGTTCTGGCAGACACTTGTTGGGGTTCCAGCTCCACAGTTTATTTCTGCTCCAGACAGTACATAACAATGAATAATTCAGTGCTGACCACCCCTGGTTAGAGAAATTCTCACTCGAACATTGAAATCTTCACTGGAATGTCAGATGTGAGGTGATTTGTTTTTTTATTTCGAAGTTGCTTTCAAGTTAAAGGCTTCTGTACTGAGTAAACGGCTCATGTTGAAGTCCAGTGAAAGCGATTTTAAAAGGTAGGTTCAAGAAGATATGTTTTGTACCCTGGAATGATTCTTATTATTGAAAGGGATTTTCCTGCAGCTGAAAGCCCAAGCCAATTTCCATCATGTAAACTGCAAATTTACACAGCGCTCTTCATGTTTACAACGTTCCAAGCGGCAATGTTTACTTAGGCTTGGGCTATAATGCCGTGCCTACTACTGTGTCTAATGTACTTCAGATGAGAGAGGTTATAGCACAGCAATAGTGTCGCAGTTGCGTCAAATACCAAACCTATATAGAACAGTGTCACACTGCTGCCATTTGGAACATCAATAACACAGCATACCCTATCAAAGCGCTTGCTGTGCTGAATGCAACTTGCCAGGCCAAAGTGGTGCCAAATGCCGTGCTACTGCTATGCCAGACCTCAAGACCTCAATATATTTAAGCTGGATCAGCACGACAGTAGCAGACAGCGATGGCATACAGCCTAAGCCTTACCTGTCATACAAGCGGGGCCTCCAAATCCCAAACGGCAGGAGCAAGCAGATGTACATTGTCCGGTGAACACGTCACATGCAACAGTACAACTGCAACGGAAACCACCTACTGTTTCACACTGGCTTCCTCTGTCAACTTAAGAATGGAATGAAAGTGGGAGTGATTGGGACTATGAAGAGTTTAACAGGAAATGGGAGGGCAGCGCAGAACTGGTGTTGGCTGGAAAACCTTGAGTTGGGTAGACTCTAGCAGTGCAAGCCTGGGGTTGGTTGGGCTTGGCATAGCCAAGTTGGATTTTGAGCAGACTCTAACGTTGGGTTGGGTTCGGAAGGGAAAGACAGGCGGGGTGGCATGATGGGCTAGGTTTGGTTTCAACCTAGCAGGGCTCGGTTGGGTTTGGTTGGGTTGCCAGCTGGGCAGGGCTGTGGGTTGGGTTAGGTTGGGCAGAGCTGTGGGTTGGGTTAGGTTGGGCAGAGCTGTGGGTTGGGTTAGGTTGGGCAGGGCTGTGGGTTAGTAAGAGCAAGGAATTAAGTACAGTACATCTGGTCAAGTAGGGTACAACATATATGGAAGGGTACTATATGTGGTGTAGGGGACGTAGAGGGCAAGGCGGGGATAAAAGGAAAAAAAGGGGTCCACACGGGTTCTAAGGCTTCTCACCCGTGCATGAGCGTTGGTCTGCATTGAGCACGTAGGCCTCGTCGCAATCACATTCGTAGCTTCCTGCAGTGTTCCTACAGCGACTGTTGTCATCGCAGTAATCAGTAAGCTCAAAGCATTCATCGATGTCTGCAGACAGAAAAACCACAGACACAAAAAATTAACAGCCCTTACTTATTCACTGACATAATTCACTGGTAATTTGGTCATGGCACTCTATACATGTACGCGTATGTGCTTTATCAAAATTCTAACCGCCTTAAGCAAATGAACGCCATGCAGCCTCTTGCTTGATTCCTGTCAGATCACATGCTGACAAAATAAACTCCGCTCTCTCAAGTCTGTCTACTCTCAGTTATGGCTTACCACTCTGCAGAACAGCAGTGATCAATTAATATGACCAAACAAGAGAATACGGTCATTTCACAATAGCGCACCTCCAAGAGTTTACAACGCGTTGGCCAATCACAATGCGTGAAATCTGTCGACCCAGTGCGCTTTTGAAAAGGGGCGCCAAATTTCGCACGTTGTGATTGGCCAGCACGTAGCAAACTCTTGGAGGCGCACTCTTCGGAATCCCCGTATTGAGGCATTCAGAGAGCACTATCAACAATGCATTGACAACTGAACAAATCAACCCAAAAAAATCAAAATGAATTTGTGTCTCACCATCACACTGAGTTTGGTCGTCGGCACTGAGTCGGTAACCACGATCACACACACACACGTCGGCCGATTGCCTTCTGATGCACGAACCATTGGAGCAACTGCTACCACAAGGCGTATCAGCTAGTCAACGATGACAAAAAGTAGATCACATGTCAGTTTGATAACACCTCATTTCAATCCTTTCAATCCTTGCATTTGACTTCTCCAGATATGAAAGCCTTCAAGGTTTTGTTAAAATAAATTGGCTTTTTTATTGTCCACAGTTCTGTGCAGCAAAATCATGGAATCAATTTGTACCTTAGGTGATTTGGAATTGAGAACACGGAGCTATGATGAAAAGAATAAAAAAAAAATTTTATTATGGGTAAACCACTTTCAAGTCCTCAAAACCTATCTTTGTTTTGTAAAAATTATTTTTTTTTGTAGTGGCATTTCTCTCGTCTTCATGGTTGGGCTTATAACATGAAATGTAAAAGAATGACCTGTCAGAAGATTAACTGAAGAAGTGGCAAATCCTAGAAAAGCAGAATCTTGTGTAATTAGGCATGCCAAAATGCACAAATGAATCCAAAACAAAAGAGAAACCAATTAAGAAATACAAAATAAAGAAATACAAACACAGGTAACCAAAAGAGAAAATATCAAGTTATACAATGAATGCATGAGAATATAAACTATGGTATAAAATTAGGGCAGTTGGACGAAGAGAAAAATCAACATTCAGAAAATGGAAACTGAATTATAGATAATGTACTATTTGAAAGGTATGAATGTATGGATTAACGCCATTTTGCGCTTACAAATTTAGACTTGCGAACAGATTATTAAAAACTTCAAAGATACAGTTGTATGCGTGAGTGATGACCGCAGGTTGATTTACCTGTACAAGTGATGTTGTCATTCTGAAGTGTGAACCCTCTATAACAACCACATTTAAAAGAAGTTCCAGCGATGCCTATACATTCTTGAGTGCAACTGTCAATTTGCAGGATACATGGTCCTGTATGGAAGAGCAAAATAACATAAGAGCCTTGTTGGGTTGCCTTTTACTGCTTGGTAAAAGTTCTATGATCCCAGAAGTTGTGTTCTTTCTCGGCAGCACATCAAGCACAAATAATGAACATTTCTCAATTAAGAATATGAAAGAATATGGTATTTGCCATTTCATGACTCTGCGTAACGAGGTGGGAAATCGCCAAATCTCTGGAGAACACTAAATCTGAAGATGTTCTCTTGTTGAAGCATTCCCAGCTTCAAGGCCACATGCAGGGCAAGCAACTCTTTGCTCATAATATAGCTTGAAGTGAGTTTTCTCCTTATCAATCGTTACCCGGTCCTTCACAGGTAGCGCCAGTCCAATCGCCAGTACACGCACATGAGGCCCGTCCCTCTCCCCCGTCCGAACAGGTTCCACCATTCTTACACGGTTCTGGGTTACAGGTGGGACAGGTACAGGGGTCTGGATTAAGAAAAAAGTAGGAATCATATTTTCACCAATTTTGGACACTCTAACAATGCCACTGTTGAGAAAACTGAACACAGCTGGAACTTACTGAGTTACAGCCACGGCCTTCACCTTATGCGCATTTTGCGTTGTCTTTGTTTTTCTCACCGTCGTTGTCAATAATGCTGATTACGGCTGCAGATTCAACAAGTCCACTTGACGGATCTGCCATCTGCACCAAAAAGTGCTCGGTTCTTTCAGCAATCTCATCCTCTTTGATGACAACTTCAAAGCTGACAGTGACTTCGGGGTCATCCCCCTGGAAGGTCACGCGAAGATTGGTAAGTGGCTCGAAGTCTCCAGTTCCCGCTGATCTAGCTACTGTTTGCAGACCTTTGTGAGTAGGAATGAAATAAATTGGGGTGACTAAACAAATTTGTCTGACTGCGATGATGGAACAAAGACTCCCAAATTTGCAGTTCCAGTCCTTTGTTCCATGGGGTATGCACAAAACAGGTTTGCCTGTGGAACAAAAGAACTGCCCTGCAAGATGGCTGCCGGGCAAAGCCTCCAATGCACTGTGCGGAATAAGTCTTGCAAATTTCAAGCTCTCCCGAAGGGCAGATACAGGGGAGCCAACAGGGGCCATAATATGTCCCCCCAGAAAAAAAGGAAACAATGTTTCTAAAAAAATAATGAGGGAAAAAAAAGCAATTTTTTGGTCCATATCATTTCCTTACGCTCAAAATGAATGTAACAAGCCCCTAAATATAGCCTCATCCGTCCCTAAGAAAGGTCATAAAAATTTGCTTGAAAGAAATTCCCAATTTGCTGCCCCTCAAAAAAAAATCTTGTTTGGCCCCCAAAAGATTTTGTTCTGGATCTGTCCTCGGCTCTCCTGATCAAGGAACAATTGCAACAAAATAAAATAAACTAAAATAAACTTACTGACACTGGTGTTTAGGAATGGCCCAAATCGAGTGACATTCATCATAACCGATCCAACATTTTCATCAACACTGAGACGGCTGGGGCTCAGTCTAAACACGGGGTCTGGAAATTAAGTCGCAACAGAAATCAGACAAAGCAAACTACAGTCATCATAAATGATCCAGCATCTTCGCCCACAACTAAGGAGTAGATTGGGATGGGACAGAAATTAAAGAAAGCAAGTGGGGCTTGACTTCCAAGGTGTCATAAATTTCCAAACAATCCTGCCTGCAATAGACCTTTTCCCTGTGATGTCACGATTGTGCTGGACTGCCATGTGTTGTAATGGTGATGAGTGCATAGTGTTGTGATAGTAATCTTCCTATTCAAGATCAACTAGTCAAGCATGCAGTGTTCACACATGCACTTGCACGTGGTTGAAGCTGCCCGTAGGAATTTATGCGATCACCGTGGCCACGGCAGTCCACGTGTGGTGGTATTTTTTACATTTAGCACAATCCAGTCATGTTGGTAACAAAGGTCTACAGAGTATGCTGAATATTGAGTAAGATCATGACTGGAAAAAAAATCATCCAGAAAAATGTGTCAAATTACTCTTGTGTTTGAAATAAATGTACCGGTTAGCTTCCTTGAGAAAAATAAATGAGCATATATAATGAAATATAAGATTTTTTTAATGCAGACATCTGCGTGACTGTTGAGCACAGAGAAAGATGGACAAAGAACAAATTGATTTTCAAACATCCCATTCAGCTATAAACTAGC